AACTCGCCCCTTAAAGAAAAACCCTCAAAAAAAAAAAAAAAAAAACAATTTCAGTCTCCATCTCTCACTTATTTCCACTGACACCAGACCAGCCTGTCTTCCTGAGCTTCTGGTATAAGTTTGTTCAAATCTATATAAAATCTCACCTAATCCACTTGAAACAGCCTCTCTGATAAAATACATACTGTTAAAAATCTATTAGAGGGCAAGTCACATAGCACAGTAGAAAGCTAGATCCAACATGGCTAACCACAGTTCAAATCCTTCTGCAGTGCCTTGAAAAACACTCTGGTTATATGCGTATGAGTGCCCAAAATCCTGATGGAATGAAGGAAAAATGAACTGTGGCAAGACCACATCCCATTAGGGGATGCTTTCTATTTCTGTCTCTCTCAGGTATATGCACATGTTCTCCAGCAATAACAACATTTTTAAAAGAAAATCTATTAAAGATATAGTGAATGCTCACTGGCTCAGTAAATGCCAAGCAGTGGATAACAGATGAAGGGTGAAAGTGGATTATGAAAACTGCAGGACACTGAGGCCAGCAGGTGGCATGTTGGTTAAGGTGCTTGACTCCTACACGGCTGACAACAATTCAAATCCTAAACTGAGCAGCTTGAAAAATCACACTAGGCACATGTGAGTGTGTGCCCAAAATCCCAAGAAGAGAATGAAGGGACTGCAGAGAGGCGATCCACCCTGATGAAAGGAGGGGTGACTTCTGACTTTCCCTCTAGGTCTCTCCCTATCTCTCTTGGGCAAACACACACGACCTATAGCAAAAACCTAAAAAAAAAAAAAAAAAAAAGGCAAGAATTGTTCATATTGCGCTCTACTTCTGAGTAAAAGGAAATGACTAGGGCCTTTTTTTTTTAATCTACAGAATATGTCACAGGCTCAATACAATCATTGATTCAACAGTATACTTGTAAGAAACAATAACCGATCTTTATGGTACTTGCTTCTGAATCACTAAAACAGTAATCTGTGTAATAATAGGGAAAACTAGAGCTTGCCAATCAAATTAATTTAATTTACTTCACAAATCCACGAAGTTTCTACAAAATAAGCATAGCACTAAGACTTTACTCATATGTTAGTGATTAAGAAGCCTATTGCTAAGTCAAACTAAGACAATTTGCCTTTACAACTGCTTCTTTAGCCAACCTATTTGAAATATTAAGGCAATTTTTTTTTAATTTTTAAGTAATAATCACTTTTTAAAAAATGCTAACTTTTCTTCTTGTTTCCTCTGCTTTTGTTATGGTTAAAGTACTGCTTTACTGAAACATGTTGGAGATTACATAATGAGACTGTCAGTCAGGAACCTGAAAGCTGTTTTATCATAGTTATCAGGCTAGTTGTTTGTTAGCCCAGGGATCTCCAAAGACCAGTGCCAGTCTGTAGCCTGTTGTCCTAGACCAACCCCTTCCATGCAGTGGAAGGTGGGTGGCCAGAGAACCAGGCTTCACCTCTATTTTCAGTCATTCCTTGTCACTTGCATTGCTACCTGGGCTCTGCCTCTAATTGGATTAACAGTGGTACTGGATTCTCAGGGAAGCCCAAACGCCATTGTTGATTGTTTCACTGTATACTGATTGCAACGTGGTAGTGGTGGAATTGGGGTGCACAGTGGATATAGTTTGCCTGGGTCACCCCAAAACCAACTCTTCCAACCCTAATCCCTAAACCACCATCTGTGGAGAAACTGTCTTCCACAAGGCTAGTCTCTGGTGCCAGGAAGGTTAAGAACTGCTATATTAGCCTTCCCACATGAGGTTTACAAGGATTCCACTAAGAGTATAGTATGTTCAGTAGCAATCTTCCTTCACTTCCTAACGAGAGAGTTTTAATACCAGCAACCCTATTTCAGAAAAGTACTTAACTACATAGTCTCCACCTGGAAGCCTAAAGCCTTGAGGAAAATGAAAAGGTAGCTGTTAAAATTGGAATAACTCTCTCTAAAATAACTGAAGAGTTCTATTATTTTGTTTCTTTGAACTGTCTAAACTAATCTGGGTTCAAGGAGCAATCATGGTACTAATTAAGCCAGTAATGAGAATCTTTTCAAGGCAGCAGCTTCAAAAAAGAAGGAAAAACTCCCACTGATTCCAGTTATTTTAAAGTAGTAGAATAGTGGATACCAGACTGGAAAGTACAGAGGTATGGGGAGAATTTGATTAACAGTTAAATATAAAATTATAGGTGGATAAGAGGAATGATTTCTAAAGTACTATAACCCAACAAAGTAACTATAGTTCCTGACAACATATATTTCAAAATAGCTAGAAGAGAGAATTTCAAATGTTCACAAAGGATGTTTGAGATAACAAAAATGTTTACTGCCTTGATTTTATCATTACACATTGTATATGTGTATTAAGAAATCTACAGTACCCTATAAATATGTATAACTATTATATTGTTTAAAAATAATAAAAAATACTACTAGTTAGAAGATACCATTAAGGAAAATTATAGCTAAATTAACAATACCAACTTTTATTAGTAACAATAAGCATCCCATGTTATCAACTGAAAGTTGTGTAAGGGGGCCAGCAGGTAGCATTGTGGTTAAAGTGCTGGGTCCCACATAGCAAACTCCGCAGTTCACCCCTCAAATCGGGTGTCATGAAAAACACAACAGATGGATAGACATGTGTGTACATGCCCACAATCCCTGAGAGAAGAATGGAGAAGGGACTGCAGAATGGCCATCCCCTCTGGGTAGTGATTTCTCACGTTCCCTTTCTCTCCATCTCCTGAGAGTGCACACAGTTTATGGCAAAAACCTTTTTTAAAAAGTCTGTTTAAGGATGG